AGAAGAGCAGTTTCAGGGGAGTGTTGGTGATGGAAATGGGTACATGAGAGAATGGGAAGACAGGAGGAAGTAGAAACGGTAAACATACACCATCGTTTTTAAGAGTTTTTCTGTAAAGGGAAGCAGAGAAATGGGTAGTAGCTGAAGAAACATGTGGGTTCAGGAAAGGCTTTTTATTGAAGTTGCAAGATATCACAGCAGGCATGAACGCTGATGGAGTGACCCAGTAAAAAGAAAAGCCCTTACATATGCAATCCAGTCCACCAGTATTGGAGTGAACAAGGACAGTTCATCTCTTGTAATGATGGTAAGGCAGAATGTGTGGGCACAGACTCTGGGGTGCTGGTAGCTCTGGTGAGGAGAGCATGCTGAAGTTCTCTTCTGATTCTGATATTTAAGTCAAACAAGAAGCAAGAGAGTTGAGAGTATGGGCAAGGAAATGACTATAATGATATAATGTGAAAGATGGGTGAGGACTGGTGGTGAGTAACAAGACAGTGGGCTGGCCAAATGGTTTGAGGTCCCTGGGGGGGTCAAAGGTTAGTATTGGGGGGCTAGAGGAAGCAAACAGGAAAGATACGGTGGTTTAGAACAAGATTCTTGAAACTGAGATTTGTGGGAGGGATATCCTTCCGGGAAGGACAAGTTCTAGGATATGACTAAAGTGGACTGTTAGAAGTAGGGAAGCCAAGAAACTAAGTGGCAGATTATTGAGTGGCTATGAAGATCATAAAGAATTATGGCAGAAATGATAGTCTATATGCTAATAAAAATGATATGGAGAGACATCTGTATATGCTGGGATGATCTCATCAGGTTCTGCACATTCTGCGCAGACAAGAGGAAAGAACCATCCAGAAGGGGCAATGAAGAGTGAGTGGGACACCTACCCCACCTGCAGGCCCAGCGGTACTGGGGATGTGGGAGAAAAAGCCTCCATCATTTGACGTGTCTACAGAGGACACAGAGTCCTCAGTGGACAGCCAGGTGTCAGTCAGAACCAGAGGGTACCTAATGGAAAGAAAGAAAATGTTCTTCAGGAGAGAGAAACTTCCACCAGCACTAAATTCTAGGGGGATTTCATGATCACCCATGCAGGTGCAGTAAATAGCAAAAGGTTAATGGTTTAAATGGCAATTTTGTTAAAGTTAATAATGGTAAGAGAACTAATTTTTATTAAGATCTTAAAATGTGCAAACACTGTGCTCCTCCTCCCCCATGGTCTGTGTCGAACATTATAATCTAACCTAAATTGTCTTTAAATGTCTTTATTTTACCTTAGAACCTTTCCTAGCCATGACATTTGTGGGCACAGGCTGAAGTAGAGAGGTATTTTGGTATACTTATAACAACCAAGATTTATAGGACTCAGTTTTCCTTATTTGTTATGACATGTAGGGAGAACAATTTATAGTAAACACAAAAAATATCTAATATCCCCATTTTTAATCTTCATTTTTAGTGGCATTGTTCTAGCCGAGGTTGAGCTGTCTGTGCACTGCTCTGGGAACTGAGCTCCAAAACTGGATCAAGTTGGATATTGGGACCGCTTACGGTGTGAGTCATCATTACATTCCCTCCAAATGAGGTCTGCTCTGCTACTTCTTACCTGCTTTAACTGACCTCCTTTGCTGGTGGTCACATTTAGGGAGACATTTCTTACTCTTGGTATTAGCAGGGCAAATTCACAGTAAGAAAAAATTTTATTGAGCACTGCCTTTAGATATTTTTGATCACTTACTTTTGACTTCTCTGAAAAACGTGTTTATATCATGATAAAGGTGTCATTTCAAATTTGTGGTTGGTTATTTAAATTTATTAAATACAAACTGTTGTAAAAACCACTGGCAATTTGGAAAAAATAAACTAACCATATCTCTCTCCTTTTACTAAAATAAATTTGTACTAAAATTTAAATAAAATAAAGAAAATCATGCTCGGTACGTAGTAACTAAAGGCAGCTCCTTCCTCTACTCCCAACTCCAAGCTATTTACTTGCGCTGAGCCTACAGACGCTCAGACCCAGAGGCAACTGGTGCTAAGAGAAACCCTGGGCTCTGCTGTGGTCCCAGAAGACGGAACTAGTATGGGATCTCCTTGTTGTGGGTTGGGAGAACAGCACTGGAGCCCTGGGGAAGAACCAGTGGAACCAGGGAAGGTCTTGGTTTTCAGAGATCTGTGGGCCCGAAGGAACCCAGTGAGCAGAAGTTTCGTCCAGGTATCTCAGCAGGGCTGACAGATCCTCCTTACACTGCCGAGCCCTAGCGTGCCAGAGATGCATTTGTCTTTTACTATTGATAGGATTCTGGCCATTAAATAACCACACTTTAGCCCCTGGGAGCCAAAAAAGAAAAATAATGGCACATCTAAGGGGAGGAGATCCCTTAGTAGCTAGAGAGTAAAAAGGTGGAACAATCAGAATACATACCTAGTGAAAGAGTACTGTTCACTGCTGGAGAGGCAGATAAATATTTGAATAAAAGAAGAGCTTTTAGAGATATTCAAATGTAACACATACACCTTTCTGAACTTAAAAAACCATGATGTATAAACTAAAAATATCAATAAATGAATTGAAATAGAGTATATCTTTATGATGCTTATAACTTGGAAGATAATGTTCCAAGAATAACTCATAATGCAGAGCCAAAGTACAAAGAGATGGAAACCATGTGAGAGAGAATAAGAGACTTGGAAGATAGAACCAGGAAGCTTAACATGTTTATAACAGGAATTTCAGAAATAGAGAAAAAAGAGTTGTTTAAAGTTAAATTTGTTAATCAGTTGAGGCAATAATAATTAAATAAATAATATAAGACAGGGTGCCTGTGCTGGAGAAATAATGACAATAATAAATAATAATTTTCATAATTATATATTCCAAATAATAATTATTATAACTTTATTATTACTGTAACAATGGCTAATACTTATATACTTTCTATATACCACGCACTGTTTTAATCACTTTATTAATGCTAATTCATTTAATCCTGACATGATCCTATGATATATGATTACTATTTTCATCTTGCAAATGAGAAACCAAGGGACAGAGATGTTATGTATCTTGCCCAAAGTTTCCCAGCCAGTAAGTGGTGAAGCCAGAATTGGAACCCAGGCAGTCAGACTCACCAAACTTTGGGCTCAATAGAAAAAATACATATATAAGCACATTCTGGTAATATTCCTGAACTTTAAGATTAAAGAGAAAAATCTTACAAGCTTCCAAGAAAAAAGAACAAAGCAGCTATAAAGGAAAAAATGCACACTGGCACGGCCAGAAGCTTAAACACAATGAAACAGCACCTACAAGACCTCCAAGAGAAAACTCAAGAATCTCATACCCAGCCAAGATGGGTATACCCTGGATGAAAGGAAGAAATTTGAAGACATAAAGGAATTCAGACAGCATATTATTCAAATAACACACCTGAGGAAAATACGTAAGAAAAGACGTTAACCAAGCAGCAAATAAACCAGAGCAGAGACCTCAAATGGGGAAAGATAAAAAGAACAAAAATGGTAAGGAGCAATACTCCTTGCAATATATATTTGCATGTGTATACAAAAATGTGTGTGTGTTACACATGATTCCATCTTGACTGTACAGGATAGGCTGTGTCATGAAAGCTAAGAACTTCTGAAGCAGAAGAGGCGTACTTTAAGGGAAGTTCTAATAGGAACTTCAAAAGTTCACGGAAAGATTCATAGTATCTTTAATTCTATTTTTCCACAAACTTTGAAATATCCTCTTAGCAATTTAGTTCAATCTAGCAGTTATGGGTGGGAGAGAAGGTGGTGAAATGTGTCAAAATGTCTCACTGTAGGGAGAGGTAAAGGTAGGGAGAAGAGAAAAAAGTGCTGTAAAGATCTCATGAGAGGGAGGACAGGCAAGTTGGGGAAAATAGAGTCTTGATAAAAACAGTGTGTCTTGGCAGAGGAAACAGTTGACATCCTGTTTTAAAGTAATAGCAGGGTCACAGGTATTTAATTAAAAGAGCTTAGAAAAGGAACTTAATGGAACAGAACAATAAAGTAANAAATAAACCAGAGCAGAGACCTCAAATGGGGAAAGATAAAAAGAACAAAAATGGTAAGGAGAGATACTCCTTGCAATATATATTTGCGTGTATACAAAAATGTGTGTGTGTTACACATGATTCCATCTTGACTGTACAGGATAGGCTGTGTCATGAAAGCTAAAAACTTCTGAAGCAGAAGAGGCGTACTTTAAGGGAAGTTCTAATAGGAACTTCAAAAGTTCACGGAAAGATTCATAGTATCTTTAATTCTATTTTTCCACAAACTTTGAAATATCCTCTTAGGTAAGCAATTTAGTTCAATCTAGCAGTTGGGGGTGGGAGAGAAGGTGGTGAAATGTGTCAAAATGTCTCACTGTAGAGAGAGGTAAAGGTAGGGAGAAGAGAAAAAAGTGCTGTAAAGATCTCATGAGAGGGAGGACGGGCAAGTTGGGGAAAATAGAGTCTTGATAAAAACAGTGTGTCTTGGCAGAGGAAACAGTTGACATCCTGTTTTAAAGTAATAGCAGGGTCACAGGTATTTAATTAAAAGAGCTTAGAAAAGGAACTTAATGGAACAGAACAATAAAGTAAAATCTCCACCCTCAGGGAGACAATGGAATGATTAGCAAGTAAGTTGATCAATCTAGTGAGCACAAAAAAAGTAAAGTGTAAGAAGTTATGAACGAAGTAAAAATAGAAAGAATACAATCAAGTGTACCTGTCATAACACTTACTGAATTCTCTCATTGAGAGACAGAGACCATCAGAGTGGGATAAAAATGGCTTTGTGTTTGTAAGAAAATACTTAAAGTTGAAAATAAAGCAGTGGCAAAGAAATGTTAGGTAAATGCAAATAAAAAGAAATAAGTAAAAATATTAAGATGGTGAAATTTAAGTTTAAACTCACTAATCAAGATAAAGAAGACTTCAGGTAACTATGAAAAGGTATAATTCATGATGAAGCAGTAACAGTCGTACGTGTGTATATACCAAAGCGCATAAGAGCTGAATAATGCAACTGACAAAAATGCAAATACTTAAAAAATACAATGAGATTTCAAAAT